AACCCACAAAAAATGGTTGAAAATAAAAAAATAAAAAAAAAAAAGAAAAAAATAAAGGTAAAAAAACCACAGGGGCTTTTCTTTCCCCCTTTTTTTTTTAAAAAAAGTGTTTTAAAATTTCGACTTTTTTAAGGGGCGTGCATACCCCCCCCCCCCCCTGCCTCCCCCTAGAGGGCCGGGTTACCAGCAAGAAAATTAAAACCTGATTGTGTTTTTCAGACTTTGCACGATGACACTGACGAGACTGGAATTATTGAAGCCCCTAGAGCCAAGCCTGACTGAAGTGATAATTTCTGTTTCCATGCAGGTAAATGGGTAAATATTCTGGCTGCTTGCATTCATTTGATTGGTATCTTCCAAAGCAAAACCATGAACTGCCACCTATACCCCCCACCCACCACCACCACAAGTTAGCCCCCGGGAGGTAAGCCCCCCTTTAGCTTATACTGGGTATTGATATAGATTTGGTTTATTAGGGACCTTAAGCAACGATGATGACGATGTTGGCAGTGAAAATGTCGCTAAAAAAATGAATTTGCATTCTTTCAGACTTAATCGCATTTATTTGGACCCGCTTAACCCTTTAAGTCCCAATAGTGACCAACAGCAATTTTCTCCCAACAATGTCCATACATTGTCAAGAGATAAGGTTGTGAGAATATAAAAAATGATCATGAAAGAGAAAATGCCTTGATGTTTTATTAAATTCTCTCAACTTATTCTTAAAGGTAATGTATGGAGATCAGTTTGGAGAATTTGTATGTGGATACTGGGGCTTAAAGGGTTAATATGGCAAATGCAGGCGACTTTTCCTGCAACCTTGTTCCCAGGGTTCTCTCCTACCCGCACTACGCCCATAGGGCGGGTAGGAGAGAACCCTGGGAATGAGGTTGCTTAAGGATTTTATTCAAGTTCAAAAAGAGGAAGGAAAATTTGTCGTCGTATGTCCATGTCCTCCATAAAATGTCAAATTAGGAGGTAAACTTCACATTGTAGTTGTGTAGTGGACATCAAAGAAATGTACTAAAAGCGTGATGCACGTGCAGAGCTGTTGTTTTGATCATTACATCTATTGTTTTTTGAAGTTGTCGTCGTTGTCATCGTCATAGTTGCATAAGCTCCATATTAGTTATGACATTTTGAAACTTAATTGAAAACCAGTAAATATAATATGATTCAAATGAATTTTGATCAGTAATTAAATATGTGACCGTACACGGGAAAACGTACTTAAACGCTTATCCGTTAAATGGGCAAAACCATTAGTCATCCGTTAGTGGCCCGTTAGAAAGTTTTCTCAAAAACGCTAGAGGCATTAACAGAACCGTTAGCTTTAAACGTCATAGCGTTAGAACGAAAAGTTTACCCGTTAGCCAAAGTTCTGTTTCCGTTAGCCGTTAGCATCAGAACGTTAGAGCATTAGTTGTATCCATTAGAACGGCTGGCAAAGGCGTTAGAAAAAATCACACCTTCCTGCCTTGCTTTGAAGCATTATTTTCTTATTCCAGTTATAAGCCCCTTTGGATACAAGCCCCTCTGTTTATAAGCCCTTCTTATGAAGATTTATTAGCCGACATCTTATAAGCAGCAGCTTACAGTATTGAATTCCATCTGGGTCAGCGTGGAAGTAGAGGAACTCTGCTTCAGTATAATTTAGTCACTTACTTGATCACTTTCACCTTAAAGGGGCTATTTGTTTTTTAAGACTTTATTTACCAGTATTTATGTCATTTGTTCCTATGGATGGCAAGAATGCACGTGGAATAAAACATGGACATGGAAAAACAAAAATTAAAATTGATCATTTCAGAAACAATTTTCTTCATATAATAATATTATTGCCTTATTATAGAGTTCTCGCAGGATTCTGAGATCCAATGAAATTGTTCTTCCATCCTCGGGTCTGATTGACACTGAACTGGATTTGTCCTTCTCACTTCAGGTCAGTTGATAGTACATATAATTATATCCTCTTTTAAATACATACAGTCGAACCTTGGTAATATGGCCACCAATCGGCAATGAGTCAAAAAAATTTGGCCGTATTACTGTGGCAGGCTCAAATCTCATGACTTGAGGTCCGTAATGGCAAATACACCGTACACCCCAATTTTGAACAACTATTCTCATTAATAAACATCTGGGCCCAGTTGCTCGAAGCATGGTTAGCGTTAACCAGCGTTGACACCATATTGGTTTTGATACTGCTTAACCAATGGTTAAAGCTAACCATGCTTTGAACAACATTACTATGCCCTGGAATGAAAATATCACGTACAGTAATTGAAAAAGCCACTTAAAATTTTCCTTCAGTACATGAAACTCTTTTAAAATTCAGTGTACTGTAGTCTAAAAACAGTACAAGATTAAGCTCAGATTACTTAAGGTCAATAAAATTGACAAGTTACAGGCATTTTGAGTAGCCGTATTAATGGGGTGAAATTATAAGAGATTCTATCATTCTACTTTGCTGGGCCAAAAAAACTGGCCGTAATGTAATATATAACGAGGTGACTGTGTTACCGAGGTGGCCGTAAGGCATGGTTCCACTGTAATATTAATTTTGTTTTGGTGAAGTAACTTTTAGAGGTAGTATCACACACCCTGGGAACACTTCAGGTTAGGTTGATTTCTTTCATTTTACTTTACCTACATGTACATGTATAGTACCCGCACTTTTTGAAGAGAGCTGGGAACAACCTTCAGGTAATGCTTCAAAGACGAAAGAAATACAAGAATCGCACCATCCTTGGGTTCAAAACTTTGGCTGTTGGATTGGTAAACATGGGTCAGGTGAGAGACTGACTGCAGACTTACATGTAATTACCTGTTGCTCTGTTGTTGTTGTTTTCTCAACCCTTTCCATCTCAGTCGTCTTTTAAATGACAGTCTTTATTATTTGATCTGTCTGATAATCATTTCTAAGCGCTGTTAATCGGGCGTAGCCAAATTTTAGTCGGACACTGTCAAAATAACTGACACTTTTTAACATTTGTACCTGGCTCTGCAAATCCTAATCCTAAAGTTTGAATGGTCACTTTTTGTGCAAGACGTACACATGTATGGTAAGGCTTAAATGTAACAGACAGAGGAAACTGAGTTTCAAACCAGGTGGAAATCGTTTTAACCTTAACTACAGTAAACTAAAAGATCAGTATCCTATTCTATTATTAGGGTGCATTCAAAAGACAGTATTTAATAATAAATGGAATAAAACTCTGAAAATCACTAGTTTTTGGCAGTATTGGGCTGTAAAATCCAGAAATCTGGTGGGCAATAATAACAGTTAATTAATAATTTTTAGCATTCTGATGGTCAAAAAGTTTGCAGTTGAAGAGATTTTAACACCAATTTCAGTGTATTCTTACTCCAGAATGAGATCAATCAAATGTGTCCTTAGAATATTAGGTAACATTTTTATATTGTGATTGTTATTACATACTTAATGTTGTTTCCAGGTCCTTCAGCATGCAGTAGAAAATCAGTTAAAGTTGTACACAAAGGGAACACCTGTCCCTGTGGCACAGATTACTGTCAACTCTCTTACTAGGTTGGTTGTGCTTGGGTAAAACTACATAACTTTTCGTGGTAGCTTTTTCTTCTTGCAATCTACAATCAGTTACAAAATTGTTGGTCGCAACACTGCAGTTGTCATGTGAGGTATAGTTTGCCCTCTCTCCCCAAGCAATGTTGACTTGTTCATTTGGGTTGTTACTTCTGAGGCTTTTCTTTTTGTTGGCCAAAAACTTTTATCTTAATGAAAATTGTACAAATGTAGTCAGTATCTACCTCCACTAAGTAACGTCCAAATATTAGCTTTTGAAGGTGGTTTCTTATATGGCCAGTTGAAGTTGTCTGTAATGCAGCTACTATGGATCTCCTCTGTAAAAGATTTCTGCTTATGTTCTAATTGGCAGTGAAAATGATTGCGCTTTAAAGTTAGTACATGTACATGTACATTTTGTGAAGAAACAGTTTTAATCATTGAATGCAAAGTAATTAGCTTATTTCCTGTGTATTCACAGCCAGCCGGTTGAAACAGATAGAATGACTGGATCAGCAGTAAGAGGTGCGTACAGTAGTAAAATACATAGTGAGAGACTTGATAATTTTACAAAGTTTGATAACCATTGGAATTTAATAATGTGTTGTGTTTTTTGTTCAGGTGATGGTGATGAGAACTCTAGTGATGATGATGATGATTACTCGTTATCAGACCAGGAAGCAAGTGACAGTGGTGGAGANACAGGGTTTGCAAATTTTATTGATTCATGAGTGGAGTCAGTGTGACTTCTGCTTCACAAATTTTGGAGTCATTTTGGAATATTTGGAGTCAAGTATCACAACGAAAAAAGCCATTTTCAGACTTTCCAGCACATGGCCCTGGCATGTATACACTATCGTGAAGGATACACGAAGTAGCTGTGGCAGACTTCTGACCTGGAAAGTTCAAATCCATGATGGCAGTCATCGAGTAAACTTTGCTCGTAATTTATCCTCTTCTGTTTTGTGGTGCAGTATAATTCTTTAATTTTGATGATTCAATTAAGGTTTACAATTAACGTAAATTGTATTTGTCGTGAAAAAGGTAAGGACAAAACTGTGTTTGTTACCGAAAATTTCTGGAGTCGAAGTGACTCCCTCCGTAAACTCAGTGGAGTCATCTGAACAATTTTGGCATAAAATATGCCAAATTTGGCGTATTTGCGAACCCTGATGGAATATAAACTCTGAAAATCACTAGTTTAATCTGGCAATCATTGGACTGTAAAATCCAGAAATCTGGTGGGCAATAATAACAGTTAATTAATAATTTTTAGCTTTCTGATGGTCAAAAAGTTTGCAGTTGAAGAGATTTAACACCAATTTCAATGTATTCTTACTCCAGAATGAGATCAATCAAATGTGTCCTTAGAATATTAGGTAACATTTTTATATTGTGATTATTATTACATACTTGTTGTTTCCAGGTCCTTCAGCATGCAGTAGAAAATCAGTTAAAGTTGTACACAAAGGGAACACCTGTCCCTGTGGCACAGATTACTGTCAACTCTCTTACTAGGTTGGTTGTGCTTGGGTAAAACTACATAACTTTTCGTGGTAGCTTTTCTTCTTGCAATATACAATCAGTTACAAAATCGTTGGTCGCAACACTGCAGTTGTCATGTGAGGTATAGTTCGCCCTCTCTCCCCAAGCAACGTTGACTTGTTCATTTGGGTTGTTACTTTTGGGGCTTTTCTTTTTGTTGGCCGAAAACTGTTTTCTTAATGAAAATTGTACAAATGTAGTCAGCATCTACCTCCACTAAGTAATGCCCAAATCTTAGCTTTTGAATTAAGGTGGTTTCTTATATGGCCAGTTGAAGTTGTCTGTAATGCAGCTACTATGGATCTCCTCTGTAAAAGATTTCTGCTTATGTCTTAATTGGCAGTGAAAATTATTGGGCTTTAAAGTTAGTACAGGTACATGTACATTTTGTGAAGAAGCAGTTTTTATCATTGAATGCAAAGTAATTAGTTTATTTCCTGTGTATTCACAGCCAGCCGGTTGAAACAGATAGAATGACTGGATCAGCAGTAAGAGGTGCGTACAGTAGTAAAATACATAGTGAGAGACTTGATAATTTTACAAAGTTTGATAACCATTGGAATTTAATAATGTGTTGTGTTTTTTGTTCAGGTGATGGTGATGAGAACTCTAGTGATGATGATGATGATTACTCGTTATCAGACCAGGAAGCAAGTGACAGTGGTGGAGATGCTGTAAGCACAGCTAGTTTAGTTTGCTTTATCTCTGTGTGCTTGGACCACAACACAAAAATTCTCTTTTCATCACTTACAATGTAATAAGTACATTTTAGCCACCTCCAGTTCTGATACAGACTCGGCCCCTTTGCATCTATCCCGCCCGCCCACCCACCCCCCACAAAAAAATCAAACTTTTTTTCATATTCGTTAGTGGTTGTGCACAAAGCCTTGTTTTGATGAAGGAACTCGATTTTTCTTTCAAGGATATTCTTGATGTGGAACAGAGACAAGGAGGTAAAATAAGGCGTGGAAAAATAACAATACCAGCCAAGGTAAATAAAACCAAACTTTCATGTTTAAAATTTTGTTTTAACTCTGTTGATGTGATTATATTTGTACCAAAAATTGACATAAAAAGTGAGTTAAGATTTTCTTTATGTAAAGAAACAATGCATCATGTTTTGAAGAAAATGTAGATTATTAATACATTGAAATGTATCTGTAATACCTGTAGTATAGAACTTTTTATGCTGTTCGAAAAATCTTATTATAATGGAGTAAAATTCATCTTATCAGTCATTACTTTCACAAATAACAGATTCTGTGTAGTGCACTTTTTTTAGCAACATAGTTACATATCAAAGCTGCAGGGCAGGTAAAGTGGATCATCAGACAATTTCTTACTAAAAATTGGCACATTTCTCACAAGGTCAGATGTGATGTCTGGACAAAGTTAATAGTTAAGACTATTATTTTTAATTTTCATATGAACAAAATCTACCTTAAACGTTCGTGAATAATTTACGAATACTGAAGATACATTTAACTTTTTTTGTCATTAGATAGTAGTATTGTAGTGAATATGTGGTGCAGCTGTGTACTTGCAATTTAAGATACGTACATGTAATGTGTCCTTTTAGGGAATTGGACTGCATTTTTGTTTTTTGTTTTTTTTTTTTGACAAAAATGGTTTCTTAGATAGACATATGCCCTTTTAATAATATTTTTATCATGTAAGTGCTGGAATTTTATTTCTTTGACTGATGTGCCCAAGGAGTTTGATGTTATATTCTTTTTTTATTATTTAGCACCAGAAGAATTTTAAACAAAAGTTCATTGCACTCCTTAAGAAGTTTAAAGTCCCAGAGGAGGTGAGTCTATTGTGTGATTGCATGAGAAAAGAAGAGTTAGATTAGAGAATGAAACTTGTGGAAATAGCCCCATGGGTATCTACTAAATTGCTTGATATTCCCTCCCAAATGACCCCATATTTGCTAATGAAACAAAAGGGGGTCATTGTATAAAAAATCGTCAAGGGTCATGCATCCCTTCAATTTACCCTTGAGAATATGTTTGTAGCTGACTAAAATCCTCTCGGATAGCCTGCGAGCAAGCTCTTCGGGGCACTCTGGTGGCAGGGCAGGAAAAGGAAGGAGAACTTCCAACTATGTCTCTGGAATTTGAATATCTGCATCAGAAATGTCAATGCAAAATGGTGATTGGCAGAGATGACATGAGCAAAGATGTCATTACCCTTGGTGCGTGCTTTCACGTGTTTTTCAATGTGTGTTTACATTCATGCTGGTTTCCACTTTGTGCTGATTGGTCGAAATCTGACAGCTCAGTCAATGTGGAGCCACTGGGGAATTGGAGGCAGAATTCAAATTTCAGAGACATAGTTGTAAGCTCTCCTTCTTTTTTTCTGCCCTGCTGCCAGAGCACCCTGGAGCGCTTGCACACAGGCTACCTCTGTGACTTCTAGACAATCAACGGTGTCACCACTCAAGCAGACTACTGTATTTTACTCACTTGTTTAATTATTTCTTGAAGGCATTAGTTAATGAGATGGGAACTCTTCAGGATATGGATATCAGCCCTCCAGAAAACGATGAGGCAGGGGATGATTTTCTCTTTCCTGATGATTTGGAAGACTTGGACAGTGATATGGAAAATAACCTTCTTGAAGACTCCATAAGTATTGTGTCAACACCTAAACCTTCTCTCAGGTATTAAATATGGTATTTCATTAAAATCCGTTTCAAACACCCAGTCATCATTAGGTCAGCTTTTTGGTCATACTTGTCAACTGGTTTGCCCCAGCCCTACCCAACCTTGAGATTTTATCATCATGTTACAAAACAATGTCTGTTTATTTTGATTACTTGAATGGAATGCTTGTTAACTAGCAAGAGCTGCATGTGCACTTTACTAAAAATAAGACATACAGTGGATCTGTCATTTGTCTTGTTTTACATTTTGTTTAAGTTACTGTAAATATCAGCTGTTTGAGTTTTGGAATTCATCATTATTTATAGGAATTAGCTTGCGTGGCAATCGTTCGAAAGGGAAGGGAAAGGGGATTTTGGGCCAAATTCCCTTTCCCTTACGTTTCGAACGGCTGCTACACAGGTTATATAGGAATCATTTGACCAGATTCTTTCTTTACCACCAGTTGCAAAATGTTGAGGCACTTTGAAGAAAAACTGGCCTTTTTTACTTTAAATTGCTGCTGGTCACACTTCTCTGAGATATAACACTCCCTCCCTCCCTCCCCTCCCTCCCCTCCATTCAAAGTTGCTCATCTAAGTTTTGAGCATGGTCTTTTACTACTACCCATGACTACCAACTTTGTACAGGGGAGAATGGGGAATCACAAGCACAAGATCGTGGACAGGCCATATGAACCTCACAAAACGTGTCCCAAGTAGTTTTTGCAACTGGTTTTAGCACTTCAAATACTTCAAATGCCAGCTTCAGATTCTTTCAGAATGGTCAAGTCAACTTATTGATGCCGTTGATAAAACACATGACTTCGTTTTATTTGTTTTTAGACCNAGCCCTCCAGAAAACGATGAGGCAGGGGATGATTTTCTCTTTCCTGATGATTTGGAAGACTTGGACAGTGATATGGAAAATAACCTTCTTGAAGACTCCATAAGTATTGTGTCAACACCTAAACCTTCTCTCAGGTATTAAATATGGTATTTCATTAAAATCCGTTTCAAACACCCAGTCATCATTAGGTCAGCTTTTTGGTCATACTTGTCAACTGGTTTGCCCCAGCCCTACCCAACCTTGAGATTTTATCATCATGTTACAAAACAATGTCTGTTTATTTTGATTACTTGAATGGAATGCTTGTTAACTAGCAAGAGCTGCATGTGCACTTTACTAAAAATAAGACATACAGTGGATCTGTCATTTGTCTTGTTTTACATTTTGTTTAAGTTACTGTAAATATCAGCTGTTTGAGTTTTGGAATTCATCATTATTTATAGGAATTAGCTTGCGTGGCAATCGTTCGAAAGGGAAGGGAAAGGGGATTTTGGGCCAAATTCCCTTTCCCTTACGTTTCGAACGGCTGCTACACAGGTTATATAGGAATCATTTGACCAGATTCTTTCTTTACCACCAGTTGCAAAATGTTGAGGCACTTTGAAGAAAAACTGGCCTTTTTTACTTTAAATTGCTGCTGGTCACACTTCTCTGAGATATAACACTCCCTCCCTCCCTCCCCTCCCTCCCCTCCATTCAAAGTTGCTCATCTAAGTTTTGAGCATGGTCTTTTACTACTACCCATGACTACCAACTTTGTACAGGGGAGAATGGGGAATCACAAGCACAAGATCGTGGACAGGCCATATGAACCTCACAAAACGTGTCCCAAGTAGTTTTTGCAACTGGTTTTAGCACTTCAAATACTTCAAATGCCAGCTTCAGATTCTTTCAGAATGGTCAAGTCAACTTATTGATGCCGTTGATAAAACACATGACTTCGTTTTATTTGTTTTTAGACCTTTCTTTGACCCTAGAAGCTCAGTTGAAAATGTTCCAAATCATGTCGACACTTTGGTAAGTTATTTTGATGCATAACGTCATTAAGGGGCAATATTCCAGCAAAATTTGTCTGCAATTATGGCGAGCGAAGCGTCTCCTTTCGCGTGCGACTCTCGCATAACTTCGCGCAAAAACCGGTCGTTTCGATACAAGTCATTTTGATACAAGCAGTGAAATTGCACAAACATTTTGTTCGCTTTATGTATAGTTTGCGAGTGAACAAGAAAAACATTTTGGGTGAATATCTTCGTTCTTTAAGCCAAGTATGTGGAACTGTTTACACTTCGAATGAATAAACTTGTATCCAAACGACTTGTATCGAGACAACTTTGTATCGAAACGACCAGTAACCCTTCGCGCGACTCCCCCAAATGTAGAGCTTGCTTGCAGGCTTAGGGTGAGGTTACACGGGACAATTCGCAACGACAATTTCTAGCGCAGCAAAGCGTTACAATGTTGAAACAATGCTGCAACCATTGGAAACAATATCGCAACAATGTTGCAACGCTGTATTGCGCAAAAAATCGTCGTTGCGAATTGTCCCGTGTAACATCACCTTAAAGAGAGTGAGCAACATAAAACTGGGATATGTCAATGGCAAGCAGGCTAATTGTTATTTGTTGATGCTGAAGGCTGATTTGCCAGGCACTGATAATTTTTTTGTGACACAAGCTCAACAATAATTGGTTAAATTTCAGTGAGTAGCTTGTTTTGTTGAATAATGTTCTGGTACATTAGATTGACGAAGAAGAGCTCAGAAGTCCGCCGGCGTCAATTCAGGTGCAGGAAGCTGACGATGTTCGAGTAGATCATGAAATGGTGAGTTTTGTTGAAATAATGTATCAGTTAATGAGTTTGTGGCAGTAGCATTGTTATACATGTAAGTTCACTTGTTTGTTCGTTTGTTTGTGCGTAGGACGTTGTAAGTCCACCTTCTGACGGAGAAAATCTTTCGGACTCGACGAACACGTCAGACGCTTTGTCGGGAGGAGGCTTGGACGAGACGCCGTCTGTACGACGCAGTGTGTCATTCAAGGAAAAAAGAAATTTGGATGACTCGGACACTTTAACCAAAAGAAGAAACAGCGATATCGATCTGCAGGTGGGTGTAAAGCCATTCATATTTTGCTTGTTCTCCATTTATATAGAAAATGCAGTTATAATCAATCAATTAAATAATCAACTATTGAAGCCGAAGATGCTGAATGTGTTATTCCTGATTTCAGCTACCGAAAGTCACGTTAAACGAACAATTGAGCAGTGTGTTATCAGGGGATATTCCTGAGTCCATTCTGTTGATCAATACTGCCGAGTGGCAAGGACAGGTAAGGAGGGACGTCTTCTGGCAATAAATACTTTTAGGTGCAATTCCCAGAATGATAAATGTATGTGTGTTTTCAACGCAAAAACAGATGAAACGTTTTCCGTCCGTCCTATGTCGTTTCCTGAACTTGCGATAATCTCCTTTACGTTTAATTCTGCATTCCGCAGTTCTAATATATGATTTTCATATAGCATTTTCTGATCGATTTCCTTCTCACTTTCACCATCTAGAATAATCTGGACACAATTTGAAAACTGAACGAAAGGTCCTCAGCTCTTGGCTGTCGACGAAGCAACTCGCCCTAACATGACCATCTCATGACTATTTTGTGTCAGTGTTTTTCGAAAATCCTCATGTTCGACCCACCACTTTACACCACTTAGCCCCTGTTTTCAATTCAGTTTCGCCCTGGTGGCCCTTTCTGGGTGACCAAAGACTCCGTTTGGCGTCTACGGTAGGTGGCATAGAGGAGAAAAGGGATGTGTTTTCAATTCGCACGCGTTTTGTGTTTATGTAATAGCACTCTCAGAATGCTGTTTGACGTTATGAGGTTTAATGTTTCCCTCTTCTGTTTCTGCAGCTGTTGGCACTAAAGCTCTGTGATAAAGCTGTGAAGATGATTTGCACGAGATCAAGTTCAGACGTACATGCAGTTTTCTTGGCCATCGTTAATAAATATCAGAAATTGTAAGATGACACCAATTTTCTTTTAACCTTCTGTGTCACGTTGTGTCTCATGTTATATGCCTTCTTTCTCGTTAGCTGTAATACACATCCAAAGTCAACCCGACAGCTGAGTGTAGCGATCGCCGGCACAGAGTCCTACATCAGCGCTGTACTTCAGCCTTACGTGGAACACTTCGCTTCCAAGCCATCAGATTGGCAAAATTTTCTTCGCTTTCTCGTTATTCCCCTCGGTAAGTTAATACAACTACCTTTTTTAAAAGGTAATACCGACGGACTTAAATTTGTATGCGATAGACTAAGCCTCCCTCACGGGTGTAGTATATATTTGTTTTGTACCTCATGACAGGTCACTTGGATAAATCTCTTCTCCCTATGCCCTTTTTTACTTGAGCAACCATTTTTCTCCATTTTAAGATTTCATTTTAAGGCAAGATACACATGTGCATATCGCGTGTCAATTTTAGGACACAAATTTTCCTTTCTTGTTCCGTACGTTTCTATTAGTCTTATTAGGGAGAATTTGTTTAAATATTTTAGAGAATGTATCTTGGGTGATCAGAGACTAAATTTTCATAACCTCTATGGTTGAATCACTGTTGGGGCTTGAAGAGTTAACCCAATTTTTTTATGGTTTACAGACAGTCAACCTTTAGCCAAGTATATCGCGTCGTTGGATCCGAGGTACAGCTCTCTCTTCATGGACAATGTTTGGAAAGAAGCGTTTGAACACTCCGACACGACTGTCGGTGAGTCTGTAGCATACTTTTTCTGTCTGTTGATAATGAAATCTGATTATTTTGTAATGATTGTATATTATTCGGCAGCTGGTGCGAGTGATCAGCTCGTCAGACCCGCAATCCGGTGTTTCCTCTCAGACCACTAACTAGCTGGACTTATTACTCGGCTGGCATTGTAGATGTTTTCTTCCGGTTCGTGAATGTTTCTACTCGAATATCCGCCATATTAAATTCTAAAAAGTTGGGGTGTTGACAGAGGCAAGTCAGCCGCTCCCCCTCCCCCCCTTCCTTCCTCCCCCTCCCCCTCCCCCTCCTCCATCTCCTTCCTTCACCCTAACACTTATTTCTGGGCGCCTATTTCTACTTTCCTTAATCTTTCTCAATGATGAAATCAAAGATGGCGGTCACGACGTAACTAACATAAACAATTGCTTTCGCCCGCCCGAAAAATACGCCTGCATTGGGCGCTACAGTCCTTTGTTTAACTCCTCAGCCATGTTGTACACTTCAACGTAAACTTCAAATTTGGAAATGTTTAACTCCCCTCCGAACGACCTTGCTGTCTTTGCCAATTGAAGTGCCTGAAAAAGGTTGTAACTTCCCATGACACCTCCTATTTAACTCCCTATGACACGAATTTTGATGATTTTGTCAGTAGGTGCAGAGACAACCAACAAGTTTTATGGCCTCGTATTGTTAATTTTTTTTTTCTATTGAGGTGTTTTCTAATTTCTTCCTACAAACGTCTGGTAGGCAGATTTGTTAACACTTTCAGCTATTTTTAAGCTGCTTGACCGCTCTGTAGTCTTAGTCCCACGCCAACAGCATGGTGTTTTTTTTTTTTAATTATAGACTTTGAGGAAGTCAGCAGACGAGTCAAAACCTTCATGTCAACGGCCACTGTCGCACATAACCTGCCGATTGCTGAGGCACTTGTAAATACAAAACCAAAAGGGTTAGTAAAAATTCAATAGATCTTAACCTCCTTCCCAAGATTTAAGGTTCCTCTTTAAGCAACCCGAGCCTGTTGTCTGCTATTGTGTTGTTTCCTCCTGCGAACAAGCTCTCAGGACAGTCTCTGTGTTCGACCCGCGGGCGAACGGGATGGTGGGAATGAGACGAGGGAGCTGTCCTTTGTTCCCTTCCCTCCCCCACTTCCAAACCCAACCAAAGAACTCCCAGAAAGAGAGCGTGCTCCCATGCTTTCCACTTTGTCGCCAAAGTTTCGTTAGATGATCTGTAAGAGAAAGTACTGATTGTTCGGCAGTAACCGAGTGACAGACTAGGGTGAAGAGGGAAGGCTAATATTTTTGTTCCTTTATAGCACGACTTTTCAGATTGCACTTCCTTTATCTCAGAGCATAGAATGTAGTGTTTTCCTTCCTTGGTTCATGGATTGCGATTATTCGCATCTATGTAAATCGTGTATCTCTGTATTTTTCCTTAAAGCTGATTTTTCTTTTTTTTGTCTTTAGGTCTGAAGAGGGCTCATCGCAAATATTTCTACCATTTGTTTGTGTAAGTATAAGAGTGACAGAATCTTCTCCCAGATTTACGTTTCATTAAAGACTAACGGAAATTTATGGGATTGACTATGTTTGCTGTTGTGCAAAGTTAAGGGGTTCCCTTTTGGATCCAGTTTCCTAAAATTGGTATCTTGCGTATTTTTCTTACAGGACGTCAGGATTGGTTCAACAGATCAAGGTAAGCGACACGGGACAATGCTTGGCCTTAACTGAAATGTAACCTGGATGCGTACCGGCTTTTATAACTTTTGCTAAAAAAAGCTATAAAGATTCCTTCTACTCGTTAGTTGCTGGATAATGTTGGGTTGGGCGGAGTCGCCGGACAAATGTCGTAGCTAAGGAACTATGGAGCAAAGGCGGCGAAGTGGTGACAGCACTCGCCTGGCCTGAGTTCGAATATTGGAGGCAACAGTTTGTTGTTGATTTTCGCCCTTGCACCGAGAAGATTTTCTCTGGGTGCCTCGGTTTTCCCTTCTTGTCAGAAATGAATTCCCAAATTCCAATTCGATTCTGATGGGTGAACAAAGGATCACCTCGTGGATGAGCCACCTCTGAATTGTTATTTATTCATTCATTCATCCATTCATTTGGTTGTTTGTTTACTTATTTATTTCAGTATTCAGTATTCAGTATTTTCTTAAGTTTACAGGTTATGCCAATGTGCCGCCAAATCCGCGCCCCGTGATCTACTATTCATCAATAGTTGTTCTCATCGTCTTTTATTTCGTTTTTGCATTGTAGCAGACGACGAACCTGTAGCAACCACTAGCATGCCTACGAGTACCGGAGCTAAGAGCATCGGGACAAATTTGAGGGCTGAAAATCAGGGACCCGCCCTAGGAAGTCCCCAGACGCCCCCAACTTTAAACGCTCCTTCGACAAGGTACGTGCGGTGTAAGGAGTAAAATCAGTGCTAGAGTAAACTTGTGATCGTTTTGTTTTCTATGGTGTGAATTGTGCCCTAAATCTTTTCCTATGCATTCAGGGGCGTAAATGATCTCTGGGTATGACCCAGTGTAATATAGCGTCATGCGTCAGAGTGTACTAGGCTGGAGAGTATTTGTTTGACCGTTCGCCTTACCACCTCTTCGTTATCATGACCCAGTGATTTTTGGCCCGAGTAAAGGCTCACTCATTTCCTTAATCTACAACCTCGAAGATGTTACCACTTCGTTATTACAAACAACCACCATGTTTTGGAGTCTCTAAGAGTTATTGCCTTCACTTTTACCTCTTGACTACAACTTGACTTACCTTTGCGAGTTCTCTCATTTGACTGCGGTGAAGATCTCCCTCTTTCTTACGCACGCGTTCTTTGTTTCGTTCCCAGCCTCCATGACAGCGGAGGAAGCGGAGTAGGCCTGTGGTCGAGTGAGCTAATGGATCTTCAAGTTGACTATTGGCTGGTACCGGGATTAAAAAAGGATGTTAATAAGGTACTGTTTATACTTTGAGTTTGTTTTATTTGCTGTCTTGACATAGGTCCTTCATGAGCTATGTGATTTGAGTGTGTGTGTTGGTGCTTCCCTGAAGTCTTTTTCTCTCTTTTTAGTCGTCTCTCAAAACAACGTTTCGAACGCTAGTCGTCTCCAGACTCCCATCCCTCGAATCTCCAGATGAACCATCTGCGCTGACAGTCATGGCC